GCGGGTGGTAAGTGGTAGCGAGTGGGTGGTGGGTGGTGGGTGGGTGGGTGACGGTGGCGGGTGGTAAGTGGTAGCGAGTGGGTGGTGGAGGTGGTGGTGGTGAGTGGTGGGTGGTGGTGGCAGCGACAGTGGGTGGTGGTGGTGGAAAATGGTAGCGGGTGGTGGCTAGTGTTGGGTGGTAAAAAAAAAACTGAAAACTCAAAATGGAAACACATTTTTTGTATTTTCCTTTTTTGGCCAAATTTATAAACTGAGACCACTGATTTATAAATCAAAAATTTTACCAAACAAGTTTTTATTTGAATTTTTTAAATTTTTGTAAATATAAACAAAAAACTGAAAACATAAGTGTTACCAAACGGCACCTTATATTTATCTTCTTGTTTTTTTCCCTTCACAAATCCCTATTCAAATCACAAAAATAAAAAATGATAGGCATTATTGAACTTTACAATGCTTTTGTTTTTAATTTTTAAAAACAAAAACACAACCAAAAACACATATATGATATCTCTCACTGAAAAAAGTAAATAATAAAAGAGTGTCTACAAACCAAACAATTTGTGGTTGATGATTGTGTTGGAAAAATTTGAGTTCTGAGCTTATTTTTGGGCCATTTTGAGCCCAAATTGAAACGAGACTCATGCATTATTTGAGGTGAGTCTAAATGGTGACTTGTTCTTTACTGCGTGTTGAATTATGCCTTGACAACGGTTTGTCCAAAATATTTCAGAGTAAATGGGAAGTTGATGTCATTTTCAAGTTCATAAACATAGAAGTTGAAGAGACAATGTGGGTTTGCTCATTAAATGGCTTGTTCCACATTGAAACAAAGAAATAGTTTGTATTATATAAACAAACTCTAGATTGGCATACTTGGAATAGGCCCCAAGGGGTACCCCAAGTTTTTTAAAGAGAGGAGTTATGGACAAAAATAGATTTGACCCAAAATCTACCACATGGAGCGCTGCTATTGTTGAGCACAAGTGCATGGTGTGGGTCGGTAATTTTTTCAAAAACCTTTGCAGGAAAATTCAGAATTCCGAATTCAAATTCAAATTTTTGTGGGAAACTTTCGAATTCAAACCCGAACAATGGCATCCTTTCCTTCTCCGATCACCTCTCTTCACTCCGGTAGTTTTCAGATTCACACCTATTCGGGGAGTTTCAAACCCATTCGAACAATCACCATCTTGCCTATAAATTCAGACATTCTTCAAGCAATTCAATCATTCGTTTTTCACCTCTTCTTCAGTACATACTCTTCTATACATTGTTCTTCTGTTTTTCTTGTAAGAGAGATTACAACACAGTCTATTCGTCAAACCCAGATTTGTAATACTACAATTTTGGGATATAATCGTTGCATCCGGAGAGGTCGGCGTCATCTGTTCTCGAGCACCATAGCGAGGACGTAACAATCTTAAAGAAAACGTGTCCAACACACTCCTCGATTTTCCGTTACTTCTGCATTTTAATTCTTTAATAATCTATAAATTTCATTTATTTAAATTAATTTACAGTGTGTGTTCTTGTTCTAATTTTATACTTGAATAAGAAATTTCTTTTCTTACTTAGTTTTTGAAAATAATTCTTTTTTGGGTTTCAAAAATAATTTACATTTTGAAATTATTTTAAGAATTTTATTAGTTGTTATTTTATTTTTAAATACACTCGCTACTTTAATAAATAATTTCGTACAGATTGGAGGTAGTTAATTATGCTAAAACAAACACACACAATACGAAGATGATTTACTTTTGAACAAGTTCTTTGACTCCAAACATTCTTTCACAGAACAACATGGTGCCATCTAATTCTTTACATAACAAAACAACAGAGGGCTCAATCCATTCAATGTCCTTTGTGGATTGCTCTTTGGTCAACAGAGGTCGATTGGGAGGCCATTGAAGAAGCAGATTTCTTCATGCTACTCTTAAATGCTCGATCGCTCCCTGATGTAATTTTCACCATTACTGATAAGCCTTCAAAACTGCATATATATATAGCTGCAAGGCAATGCATCTCCACATAGTAGTACCATGTAATTTTTGTCACTCTTTATTAGAGTTCAAATTTACACCATGCAAGATGGCACTAAGCATCTTGAAAAAAGTCCCATCCTTTTCTTCTGCATCACAATATAAATATGTCAACCAAAAAGAATCAAAATGTAACGTTCCCATATTTTGGTGACAAAAAAATAAAAAAGTACAAAGTAAATTACACATTTCTTAATATTTGAATTTAAAAAACATATAAAAAGTCTTAAGAATTTGATAGAATTACATTAGGCTTCTGAAAAGTTTTAATTCATAAGTATTTAACCCCATATCAATCAATAATTCGTTAGTTACATTACGGCCATATTTGTTCAAGCAGACATGTGTTTGGGATTAAACTAATAGTTTAATAAAATTATTAATCTGATATTTGGTTAAAAAATTAAAGTACGGATTAACAATCCATCCGGATATAGTATCTCGCATATGATAGACTATTCAATCCCACATAAGGGTGGGATATAAATTGAGAGACTAAGTCAAAGTCTAGATTAATTTATTAAATGACCTTAATAGAGATATTATGGTCAATATATTTGATGTCCCATATCCTGTCATGTCATGTCATGTCCTACCCATTCTAATCCCCTTAAACAAACATCAGATTGGATAATATTTTGCTAATCCCTCTTTATAATCCTAACTCAATCCAAATACAGGATATTGTGTGAGTGATTTTCCGATCACACTGCTCGACTCAGTATTCAGCTGGAGAACACTGGCAAAATAGATGACACCTGGCTAACCTGTAACAGAAAGAAAAGATTCCGGCGGTGGTTCGTCCACCCGGAGGCACTCCGACGATCAAGTCAGTATATCTCTAAAAAATAATCAATAGTGCTTAACTCACTAGACAGAGTATAAATTGCGTACCTTAGACCCATGAGGGTGCCTCTTACCTCAATCCTAATCCTAATAGAAGCCTGACTTCTATGGATTCCTATTCAGTATTTACTTTGGACTCCTCAAGAGATAAAGATAAACTCCCTAAGAGTTTTATCCTTATCTTGGTTAAGTCTATTCTTTATTCTAGGACTCTTGTGCCTTATCCGCTTGTCTCAGATTCCGATATCTTCGGAGATAACCTCGGCCTTGCTGAGATAACCTCGGCGTCATGACCTAGACACGTGGCACATCGGCTGACACATGGCACATCGGCTGACACGTCGGCGCCAACTTGCCACGTGTTGGTACTCAAAAATATATCCCCACAGATATAATACACAATCTAAAAAGATTTGTAATCCTAGGACTATTAGTCATGAGAATGCTAATACAACCTAATCCAGTCAAACCAAACAAATATGATCTACATAGATGAAAAAATTATGTTGTCATATCTTTTATACTAAAATGTATAGTCTACTTATTTTGTTCATTGTGTCAATTTGGTCCTTAGAGATTTAATTGTATCAATTTTACCCTTTAATTTTTTATATTGTGTCAATAAAATCCAATTGTTAACATTTGTTAAGAAATTAGATAGAAATATGTTCAAAAGAGAGTAAACTATTTCAAATTGGAGAGAGTGCATGAATTATTATTTTTATTTTTTTTATTTCAGTTCAATTTCGACAACGACATTATAAATTAGATTGAATTGAAATAATTTAACAAATTCGAAGATAAAATTGATACAATTAAAATTATAACAATTAAATCGACAAGACAAATAAAATTAGAGACTAGGAACCTAACTTATCCTTATTTGAAAAATGTATTTGGAATCAGTGTTTGAAATTTGGACTTACCCGCTTGGTTTTGTGGAGGAGCTCGGGTGGAATTTTGTAAAGATCTTCATCTACTGCTTTCACTATGGTGGCAGTTGCGGTGGCAGTCGAAGGTTGCCGACGATTACGAATTGTGGTGGAGGTGGTGATTTTAGTGGTGGTGGAATGCTTGGGGGGTTGTACCATTTGGGACGTTTGCGGTTTTCTCGGCGGTTCGGGCACGGCACATAATACCACCTTCTTTACTTGGTTTTTCTCCTCCTTCACTTGCGGGCACCTTTTATTTATTACCCTCGTCTTCTTCTGTATTTAACCCAAAAAAAAAAAAAAAAACACTATACATTTTTTTAAAAAATTAAAAGAAATAAAAAATCTCATTCAAATTTCAAAATAAAAAAAAAGTTTGAAGTCAAATTACGATTGTTAGGATTGATTATTGAAATCATTTGATGTTAGCATTATGTATTGTCAAGTTACAAAAATGTTTTTATTTGTGACTTAAAAGACAAATGGTCTAGAAAGTCAAGACCAAAAAGATTCAAAGTCAAGTAACGAGAACATTAGCTTTTAGAAAATGCTTGGGAGCACTAACTAGTGCTCTCACTAATTAGGTGACAGTGAGTCCCGTCATTAATGATGTGATGTTTTGATCTTGAAGTTGTATTTATTTTTATTTTTTTTACTTTTTTAATGCATTAATGCTATTAGTGGTGATGTTTTTAGTGGGATGAATCATTGTTGTAACTTTTAAGCTACTTATAAGTTCTTGTTTTAAAGGGAAAATTTCGAATAGTTTTGAAAAATAATTATAAATATGTGATAAATTTTATAAATATGAATAATTAAAAATATATATTTTTATTTATTTATAAATTTGTAATAAAATTTTGAAACTACCAATGGTTGATAATTTTCCCTTAAAAATTGGATGTATGATTAATTGTGATTTGAAATTACAAATTAGGGGTGAGCAGCGGATATATCACTCCGTCAAAATCGACCGAACTGAACCAATCCGCCGCATTTTGGACGGATGCGTGATGATGAGCGGACAGTTGCGGATTGATTTTCTCCAATCCGCCAATCTAGCAGACGGATAACGGATTTGAGATTCCTTTGGCCGCAACCGAACCGCCAAACCGCAAACACCCCTAGTAATTTATAAGACTTTATATTTTTAGTTTGTTTAAATATTCTGTTTGTATTTTCAATTAAAAAAGAATTTAAATATTATGTTGAAAAAAAAAATTCAACTTGAATATCTTTTTTGAATTTTAAAAAATAAACGTATTATTTATCTATATTTTTTAGTTTTTAAATCTATTTCTAAAAATAATAAATAGAAAATATGATATATGTTGGTTGGTTTTTGTTTTCAAAAACAGATATAGATGTAACAATACAGAGACATACAATCTCTACTAGTACTATATTTATGATTTTGGTGATTTGGGTTATTTTTATATTTTAAGAATCACAGATTGTAATACTTTATGTAGATGAGGGATGCTGTGATTGTAGTATATGGATGAGGCATGCAGTAATTGTGATACTCTAAAATTTCAAACTTTTTTGCTTTGGATGAGGCATGCAGTGATTATAATATTTTTTTAAGTTATTAACTGTAATACTTTCTTCTTCTTCTTCTTTTTTTGAGGAAATGCACAAGTTGAATTATGTTAAAAATTTATAAAATTTTAAACCACCAAATCAATTCACATCCATCCGCCAAACCGTCAATCCACTCAATCCACATCCGCCAGATTGGCGGACGGATGCGGATTAATTTTTTCCAATCCGTCAATCTGACGGACGAATAACGAATTGAAAGTTCCGTGACCGCAACTGACCCGCGCCCACCCCTATTACAAACATCTAACTTGGAGGGTTGGTTTTGTAATTTTCCCAAACAAAACCAATAAAAAGAGTTTCTGTTTTTATCTTTCTTGAAAAAGGACACACAGTAGCCAATCCACAAATACACCATGTGATAAGGAGTTTTGACACTATATGATCGAAGTGTCTAGAGATTCTAAAACATTTATTAAAATTTTTATCAAATATTAAACATAAGTGTGAAATTCACATAAAATTCACATGAGATCCGTGTAAATCCCACACCAATGAGAGTTTTTTAAGGTGTAAAATATTTTTTTCTATAGAGAAATTTCATTATCTAATAATTTGTGTATTATATAAGAAAAAAATATATATAATTATTAAGCTTTTCATTTCATTGGGAGTTTGTGCAACTGCATTTCATTTTAATCAAACATGAACCATTTCATTTCATTGTTCTTTTGTATGTAAAAAATATAGTATACTACAAAATAAAATAAAATAAAAGAAGGGACAGACAGACCTTTGGAGGGGGAGGTGGAAGGCCGGTGGTCGGAAGAGGATATTTCTTGAAATCAATGGCGCGGAGCTGATCACCGCCGCCGGCGGAGACATAGGGATGGCAATGGCATTCCCCGGAGGAGGAATTGCTGTAGCGAAGCAATCCCCCGGAGACCGCCTGCCTCGCGCACTCGAAGTACTGCGTGATTGGCAGCTCATTCGCGTTTTCCCAGTTTCCAAACACCGGTATTTGACCACTCTTCTTCCAATATTGCTCCTATACATACGCATATTTCCTTGATTAATCAAGAGCTGATTTAAAAAAAATTAACTTCCGCCAATAACAAAATTAAAAAATACAGAGCCAATTAATTTCTCGAGCATATATATTTATATATATATATATAGAGAGAGAGAGAGAGAGAGAGAGATGAAACAATGAAGAAACTTACATTACCACTCTTCTTCCAATATTGCTCCTATACATACGAATATTTCCTTGATTAATCAAGAGCTGATTTAAAAAAAATTAACTTCCGCCAATAAAAAAATTAAAAAATACAGAGCCAATTAATTTCTCGAGCATATATATATAGAGAGAGAGAGAGAGAGATGAAACAATGAAGAAACTTACATTCATTGTTTTGAGGCAGCAAAGCTGAGCAGAGAAGAACCCCAAGTTACGAAGAATATTAAGGAGGAAGAAAAGAGTGTATCAGAAAAAGTTTGGTGTCTAATTTGGTTGTTTGGTTTGGGAATAATGGGGATTTGATGAGTGCTTAATGAGACGAAAAAGCATATAGATTGAGAAACTCCTATAAGATCCTCCCCATCTTCTATATGATATTAATATATTTTTATAATTATGAAAATTAAAACATATAAGATGCCTAGAAAATAAAAAATTCAAAAATAGAAAAGAGAGAGGAAAAGAACTGTAGTCAGCAAGAGAGAATAAAGAGGGAGATTGGCCATTTTTTATGGAGGACATAGAAAGTGGAAACAAACAGTAAAGTTGGAGGAAGAGAATTGTAAATTGTAATGTAGTAGCAGAGTAGGGGAGTAGATTGGTAGGTGCTCCCTTTTGTCAACCATTTTGAATTGAATTCTCTCTTTTTGTATATTACCATTAGCATGTGGGAATGGAAGACAACAACTCAAATAGGTGGTAGGGACTACCACTATTTCCAATGCACTATTTTTTTATTATTTCGTTTTTAATATTTGTTAAGAAATTTAAAAATAATCAGCTTCTTTAGTTCTATTTTTAAAAAAATATTTTTAGAAAATTTTATTTTTTTATTTTCGGTATTTTTTTGTTTTTATTAAATTTTTTAAATATTTTTAGCAATTTTTTTACTTTTTAGACACACCTAACATAAATACACCTAAAAAGTAAAAAAATTGTAAAAAAAAATATTTTAAAAATTCACTAAATACCAAAAATATAAAAAAAATATAAGAATTCAATACATTTTTTATATTTTATGTATTTATTAATTTTTTAAAATATTTTCTCACAATTTTTTTACTTTTTTGATACATCTAAATAAAGTGCATCTAAAAAAGTTTAAAAAAATGTTTAAAATTTTAAAAATATTCACTAAAAACAAAAAAAATACTAAAACTAAAAAACTCAGTTTTTAAAAAACTTAATCCAGAAAACTCAAACCAAACACATTGAATAATGCTGTATTTGGTTGAAAATTTGAGGAGGAATTTAAAAAAATAAAAGGAAAAGTTATATAAAATTAAATAAAATATAAGTATATTTTATTCACATTTCACGTAATTTTTCTTTTTTTTTTTTTCAAATATTTCTTCAAATCTCCTAACCAAACACAGCATAGTAATGAAAATTGTATACTTCCTCCGTCTCAAAATATTAGTCCCTTATTTCATTTTTCATTGTCCCGAAATATTAGTCCCTCTTCAAAAATCAAGTAAAAAATAGTATAAATTTTTTATTTTGCCCTTCTTTTAAATTAATAAATAATATAAAAAGTACAATGACGACATTAATATTTTCAAAAAAAATACTATTAAAAAGATAATTTTAAAAAATCAACTTTTTTTAAAGTGCAATAATTATACTATCAAAAAAATTAAATTCCTCAAAACAAACCATTATTTTGGGACAGAAAAAATAATATTTTTATAGTAATATTAAAAATACATAAATCAAATATAAGATAAGACACCGATAATTTACAATAAGGATGAATTTCACAGGTGGTTTTCATTTATACGAGACATTTATGTCCCATTATATGTTTGGTCTAATGCGCACTAATATTTGATATTTTTTAAACTTTTAACATGTGTTATGGAGACACAGATTATTTAGACGGCAATTTTTGTTTTGTATTATATATTGTTGTACGGGAAAGAAATAATTCTACTCGTATAATCTTGTTGATTAAGTCCACACTTCTCCGTACGACGTCGCTTTGTCACCTGAAAACACAAACGTGAGCTAGCCGGCGGGTGTGTGCCGGAAACCTCTCCGATGCCTAAGTCAGCAAACTTGACAAATAGACAAAGCTCAATGTATTCAGGAAGCAAAATTGTATGTTGTGTTATGTTACCTCCTCCAAGGTGATGCTTGTGAGCTTTTATAGGTTTCGAATGGCATAATCCTAGTAGGACTTTTACTTCTCCATGCAGAGTCCTCTAAGGATTCATACTTCTAAGGATAATGCTTATCCTTTTACACCCCCCACTGCTTAAACCAAGTGGGATGGTTTTTACTATGGCCGAACTACCACATGACCGAAATAATACTGGCTATGCCGAGCCACAGAGTAGGCCGAACTATCCTTAGCTCGGTTTTCTCCATCCACTCCTTATCTCGGTTCTCTCCTGTTCAACCATGGTGTGTTTAGACCGAACTACCGAGTAACAAGGTTTTGACCGTTCTAACCATACTACGTCGTGACCGGACTAACTCTGAGACCGGCCTAACTCCAAGTTGCCTCCGGACCGGAGTAACTTTACATCATCTTGGACCGAAGTAACTTTATCTCTTAGGCCGGAGTAACTTTACCTTTCTTGGGCCGGAGTAATATTACGGCCTTTTTTACACAGTCCTTCGTATTTTGGGCCACAAAGTCATCTCACAGCTCGGCCTAATTTTCACCAAAAATTACCTTCTCAATTGCCCCTTAATTTCATCTGCACAGCATGATTGGGATTACCAGTCTACTAGCCAAGCTGGAGTTTTTAAGTTTTTCCAGCCGAGCTAAAAACTCCTAAGAATTTTAAGCCGAGCTAATTTTACTCCGAGCTCTGTTTTGTCCGGTCAAAACGTCTCTTCAATCACGACTGTAACGCTTCCCTTTCCAAAGACACGTGGCGGGCTCGATAGGCTGGGGCAACTGTCATGCCGCCCTCGTACTACGAAATTTTTGAACAGTCCCGCCCTTTTGCCTTTCATCCTTTACACAAAACAACCCTTTCATTTTTTAATCATTTACTTTATTCCTATTTCTTCTCTCCCTTGTTCCTGAGCCCTGAGTTTGAGCTTGCTGTGTTCGTGCCCTTCATTGCTGCCATTGCTTCCATCTTCTAGCTTCTTCCTTTTTACTCTGGTAAGCAAATCTAACCTTCTTGCTTTGTTTGTTTTCGTATTTTGCTTTCCATGTTTTTGCGAAACATATTAGTCTATTTTCTGCTTTGCTTCTGTATTTTACTAGAAAAACTTTACTGAACTCGTGCGTGTATGTAATATCCTGTAGAAGACTAGTCTTTGATCCAAAAACTTGTCCCAACCGAACTAGGATACTGTTTTGTGCTATATAGGTAGATCAATACAGAAAATAACCGAACTAAAAATTGTAGAAATAACAGCAGCTTCAGAAAATAACCGACTTCCGATTCACCATAGCCGAAATAAGATCACCGAACGAAGTTTGAAGACATTAAACTATGAACCTCGGTCTTCAACCGAGCTAAGCCTTTGGGGCTAAGCCAGCTTTCTTAGCTTCTAAGCCAAACTCAGAAAGCTGCCCCTAGAGGCTCAACCGAAGTAACAAAACTCGTAGTTCAACCGATTTAGGCCTTTGGGGCTAAGCTAGCTTTCTTAGTTTTTTAGACCAAACTCAGAAAGCTGCCCCTAGACGACGAACCAGTCTAACAAAGTCGTTTCCAAAGCAAGTATGCTGAGATGCTTGCCATGGTCTAGCTAATAAAAACCCTGCTCAAACCGAGCTACCAAGAATTTTTGCCGAACCAAGATAGAACCTGTCCACAAAACCGAAGTAGGGCTCTTCTACCTTGCTTTTAATTTGTAGCACGGTCCTATGATCTGTGCTTAACCCCTTTGTTTTCTACTTTGCAGACTTAGGTTGTCCAGGCACTTCTTCGTGCGCTCAACCGTGCTACTGAGCACAATTTTTGCACTGATATAACTTATTCATAAATTATACAACAAATGGGTAAGTATAGGTTTTTGGTAGAAACCCCTGGTGGCATGGCCGAATTCCGAAGGGATTATGGTATTCCAGACGATGTACACCTTACCCTAGCCAAGCAGGATATCATACCATGGGCGCGAAGCAGACTTTGTACCTTTTACCCTGCTTTCAATAATAAAGACCGGACTAAGGTTTCCAGTCCAGCCTTTGATTTGTGAGTTTCTTAGGCAAACCAGACTATGCCCAACCCAGCTATCCACCAATACATACCGGATAATAATGGGTATAGCCGAACTAAACCGCCAAGCAGGCCTGAACCTCAGTCTAGCCGAAATCTTCCACCAGTACTCCATAGGTTCCAAAGACGATGGCTGGGTTTATTACCTTAGGATACGCCGTCGTAGAGAAAAGATAATAAAAGATACGCCGGATAAAGATATAAATGATGATGACTTTTTCTGGGTATCAGGAAATTTTGAAGATCAGCAAGCCCAAATCCCAGGCCGAAGTATAAACTGGAAGAAATGAGAACCTGGTATAGTTACTTCGGTTTTATGCATGTTTTTCTTTTACTTTGGTTTCAGACGTCATAACCGATCTAACAGTTGCATCCTTTTTGCAGACTCAGCTCATCTTGCTTCCCTGTATAGTTACCCAAATCTAAACACACTCCGAGCCGCATTACGTTTTAAAGAAAGGAGTTGGGCTAAGCTTCTAAACTTTGAGCTGACCTATAGATATAGCGGTCGCCGAAAAGTCAGAGTGACCGATTTCCTTCTTGAAGACGCACCAGAACCGGACCCAACCTTACCCAAAATCAAACTTGTCCCACTAACCGCTAAAGAAGATATGGCAAAGAAAAGCAGAGTCAGGGCCCTTCTGACTGAAACAACCAAGGCCGAAGTACCACCATCATATCAAACCCAAGAAGCGGTGGTGGCCCTTCCTACACAACAACCGTCCTCATCCCGCCGAACCAAGCACGCCCGGACTGCCAAAACCGAACAAAACTTGGTTGATGAAGACGAAGCTGCTCTTCCACTGAGCCTGCCACCGAGCCCCCAACCCGAGCCTACCAACCGAACTACCACCATCTGGGCACCGAAGCTAACCTTTAATGACCGAGATATCCAAGATTCTGATTCGGTTGTTGCTGACAAAGATCATCAATTGGCCTTCAACCTGGCCAAGAGTGTGTGCCTCCCCAAAGATATGGAGCACCACCAAAAGCAACTAAACACCGAATTGAAGTCCATCCGGTCTTCATCAAAGTCCATGATTTTGGTAAGTAGCTCTGTCCGTTTTTCTGTCTAATTTTTCAAACTTTCACTTCGGCTCAAGGGAAGTCTTCGTTTTGTCAGGCCTTACAGAAAAACAACATTACTTACAAGAAAGTCCTAGAGCTCAGGAAGACAACAAGGCAAGCCGTGGCGGAAGCCGAAGCGAAGGTGGCCGAGCTAGAAGAAGCCAGAAAACAAATGGCCGAGCTACAAGGTGAGATCGGCAGACTGACCAGACTGGTTAGTTCGGCCAAGGCCGAAAAGCAGAAGGCTGCCATTGCTCTGAAGGACAAGTACCTGCGCGAGCTGGTAAAACTTGAAAAGAAGAAAGATGCCGAAATATCCCAGGCGAAGGAGAGCTCAAAAGAGGCCGAAAAGAAAGGTTTTAAGAAGGCAGAGG